ATGGATTGGCCAAGTGGCAGCATCGATGGACTCAAGTGTGTCAACAGTAGTGAGGTTGGCCCAGGATCGGGCAGTGTTTTGTTCTGCTGTCCATAAGGTCGCTATGAGTCGGTACTGACTCGATGGCACCTAACAACAACAATTCAACAACTTGTATGCCAGGCACCAACTCTAAATATCAAGATGAAAAATATATTCCTTGAGAGACTGAACTAAAAAGTGTGACAATGATCACAAAGGCCTTTGTGTGATAAGGAACAAAGGGCTGAGATAGCACACAAAGAAAAAATGAAATTCTAACAAAAGGGTGAAAGGGAAAAAAAGAAACGTACAGAAGATGTGTTAAACCGAGCCTTGATAAATCTTCAAGACCTCCAGTTCTTTGATTCCACTTCTTCGTCCTGCTTTTTTCCAAATTCCTAACCTGCCTTCCCTGTACCTACACCCAGTGTGATTATTCCTAGGGGAATATAAAAAAACTAAATAAAAACCATGCAGATTACTCTCATAATGAAATTCATTTTCAAGAGCCAGCTAGAGGCACAGAAAGAAAAAATAAAGTCTGACTACAAATAGACAAGTGAAAAATTAAGGAATACCTACAAAATAACCATAATTATTTTGTCCTATGCCCCCTACCCCTGCCTCCAAAGCTTTAGTGAGATACAGTACCAGGAAGAGGATTCTGACTAAGCTGCCATCCACTTCCTCAACTCGGGACTTCCACCATGTGCCTTCCCACTCAGTTTTGATAAGCTGGCCACTCTTAAGCAGCACCATGGGGCGGTTAGGGTAGGCAGTGATGTATTCCTCTATGAAATCTCGGCAGGAGATGTCTTCAATGTCCTCCCATGTCTTTTTCACTGTGCAAAGGGAAAAAGAAGGGCTGAGAGAGGGCAGGTAGCGATGAACTGATGGGCTTGTAAGGGACCCTGAAGATGTTTATTGCCACAATATGTGGGAACAAAGGGGTTATTAGTTGGCTCTTTCTGCAATTAAAGACATTTACTTCTGGGGGAGTCTGTTCTCAAGTCAGAGTAACACCATGAAGTTTCCATCTAACACAGTTTCTGTGGAAAACGCTATGAAGACTACAGATTTACATGAGTATTAGGTAAAACCTGACATTAGGATAGAAGTACTACCTCCCCACACCTAAATTATTTAGAAATTAAATAAACACATATCTGTAATAAGAGTAGTACACCCAGGGTCAGATACAGAAAATACTATCTTTCAAAGGGCATTAACCAAGCTTATGCTCCTCCTTGAGGGAACAATGTGGCTCTGTACAATAAGGACTGGACTGTAACCACAAGGTTGCTGGTTCGAGTCCACTAGTCACTCCGTGGGAGAAAGATGGGACTGACTGTTTCCACAAAGATATACAGCCTCAGAAACCCTATACAAGGTCGCTATGAGTCAGAATTGACTCAATAGCACTTAACAACAGCAATAAATGCTCCTCCTTGAAACTCAGGGAGAATGTTGTGCACCAAAAAAACCCCAAAACAACTGGAGATTTTCAAATAGGTGTCTCAAGAAGAAATACACGGTAAAAGAGGAAAGGACCAGAACCAAGAAGAAAGGATACTCACATGGCCGGCAAATAGGATACAGTTCAGACTGTGTGACATAGGAAGCATATCCATCATCAAAGAAAATGAGAAACCTGTAAGTGAAGAGTGACGGTTCAAAAATCTGGGGGTCATGAATATGAGGAATTTTTAACACGATCTACAGAAACAATTTTCCCTTTACTTCCACTTTTTTGGGTCAGCAGAAAATACACTATTCCAATCTACTTTCTTCCTATTACCCTATTTTTGCATTAATAATGTACATATTACATAACTTCTGCAAAGTACAAAACCCTCTCGTGAGTTAGTTTTCTATGTGCGGTGTGTGCATTGTATGTGCGAATGCATTATTTATGTGGGCTTGTTATATGCAAAAATGTGGAATTCTACAGAGTCCCTATTAGTTGAGTTGGAATTTAACAACAAACAACAACTCTAAGAGTTAGGAATTCTCCCTTCTGGTCAACATGTCCACTTGTTCATAACCATTTATTCTTGTTCCTCAATCAGATTCCTAGGTTATTGTAACTCACCAGTCCCCACTTCTTCTCTTCTTTCTACATAAATTGTCCCATTTTCCAGATCATTAATTAATCTTAATTGCTCTCCTCTCTCCAAAGGAAGGAACAAGAATTCATACACATGACTCCTACTGCATAACACCAGAATAGGTTTCTGGCCATGGGGGACTCAAAATATAAAAGCTAATTGTGAAATCTGGACTGTGGCTTAAAGAGGGAGGGTGCCGTGTTCTCTTCTTCATTCCCTTTACAGTCCCCTGTCCAGGTACCTGAGCTTGTTTTTGACGTTTGGTGTCTCAGCTACAATGCCAGCATAGAGCCAGACCTGATTTCCATCTTTGTATTTGGCCACCACTCGACTACCCACATACAGCTTGTCACCAGGAGGGTGGTAATCATAGGCTATATGGTTCCCCGACAGGAGACTCTTTCCTTTGTTGTCAAATTTAACCTTGTACTTCTTCCCTGGGCCTGAGTAAAAGAAAAAGATGAGAAACAAATTTAAGCAGTTTTCAATTTCAGTCCTGGCTGCTATGAGGGACAAGGAAGGAAAGGCTGTGGGGGAAGAGAAATAACTGGCAATGTAGACCTGTCAGGGTCACCTTTTACTGGTTCTTCCTCTAATTTGAACATACCAACAGTCTGGATGGCAATAAGGGTGCCTTTGTGCCATGTCTTAGTTCTCTTCTTGCCCAGAATGCGCATGCTGACTATCAGGTCACCATCTTTGCTCAGTTCCCCAGACATCTGACTTAAGGTTCCTATGGAAGAAAGCAAAGTTGTACTAAGAGCTACGGTATAGGTTGAATAAACCAACAGCAACTACCACTTTTAAATGGTACGTAATATTTATAAAGGATTTTCCTGTAGGTAACAGCCCCATTCTACAAAGCTTCCCTCAAATCTCTTTATAAGAATTTAACTTACTCTGCCCTCCCTAATCAACACTTTGAAGGAATAGTCATGGGCATGGAAACAACCTAAATGTGGAGAGTTAAAAAGGTATTAAGGAGCCTTGGTGACACAATGGTTAAGTTGTCAGCTGCTAAGGACAAGAGTCTGACATACCACAATCAGCAGACTGAAGATTTAGGCAGACGACGACAATAAAGAGAATGGCACAAATAATCTTAATTGACTATGGTGCTAATAGCCAGTGGTGTTAATAGAAAGCACAACGGATATGGAGAATTCAGAGAAGCATAAGCAAAGGTAGTTATCCACAAAATCTCGGCAGGAATTCACCTCCCTACCTCCCTATCCTCTCCTGCCTATACCCAGGAACCTCCTGACCTTGACCTTTATGTAGATCTTGGGAACTGCTCTTCTTATTGACAGCATCCATGAACTTCTGGACATCTTGAGCTGACTTTCTTAAGGCAGCCATAGCTTCACGGAGCTAAACGGATAGAAATGAGGCAAACATATTCCAAAACAGCACATGCGTTAGAAATAACTTGAGAATGAGAGAGACTTTCTGTTTAAAAAAACAAAATGGAGTGAGTCATGTGGTTACTTTACCAGGCAAAAGCAGGCTTTTGTTACAAACTTGGTTCAGAAACTGGCTTTAGGAAGCTTTGCTTTATTAATCACACCTAGTTGATCACTGTTAAATTCTACATTCATTTAGCACTCAGTACTTTGTGTATAAGGAGTCCTGGGGGTATAACGGGTAATGCATTAAACAGCTAACTGCAACAACAGCAGTTTGAATCCACCAGCTGCTTCTTGGGAAAAAGATGAGGCTTTCTGCTTCTGTAAAGATTTACAGCTGCAGAAACCCTACAAAAGATCAATATGAGTTAGAATTAATTCAGTAGCACACAACCACCACCTCCACTCAGTTAGTGCACAGGAGCACTGGTGGCACTGTAGGCTAAGCAATGGACTACTGTTAACTGAAAGGTCAGCAGTTCAAACCCACTAGTCACTCTTTGGCACATAACAACAACGAGTACAAATTAATTTGATGTCAATGAGTTTGGTTTTGGAATTAGTGCATAAGGTGCTCTGGTGGCACAGTGGTTAAAGTGCTTGGCTGCCCACCAATAGGTCAGTGGTTTGAACCCACCAGCTGTTCTACACGAGAAAGACGTGGTAGTTCACTACTGTAAAGATGACAGCCTAGGAACCCTATGAAGCAGTTCCAATATGTCCACTAGGGTTGCTGTGAGTTGGATCAACTAGAGGGCAATATGTAGTTAGTGAATACACCTCTTGGTAGCCTCTTTTGCATTCTGATATCTATTAAAGGGTTAAAACCTGCAGAGCTGATTCAGGAATAAATGGTTATATGCCCATGGTTCAACAGAATGAATTTTCAGGCCAAAAGTTTCTCCTATTTTTACATTGTTATCTTTTATCCTTCCTTCCCTCACCCACCCAAACTCACCTTCTGGTCTTTCGGAGTTCTGCTCCCAGCATCACCTGTGGATGAGTAGAACTCTAATGAGTGTAAGAGACTTACGTACAAGGATTTCAGAGAAAGCAAGAACCATTATCGTTGAAGTATCATTAACAACTAAAAGCAATGTGCATATACATACACATGTAAAAGTATTCAAAATAGTTCAGAAAGATGACACAGCAAATGAATGAATAGTGCTAACTTCTGGATAAAGTTCTGGGACAATTGGTGATTTATGGAATTTGGAAATTTCACTGTGTATCTGAATTTTTATAAAATAATCTTATTATTTGTACAATTTTAAATATGATGTGATCAATGAATTTAGCCAAAATGTGTGTTTTTTTAGTAGCAATGGGAAATAGAACTTTCTACAACAATGGAAATGAAATGTTCTGTATCTGTACTCTCCAATCCATTATCATTTGGCTACTAAACACATGAGATATGGCTAGAATAACTGGTGAAAATTAATTTTAACACAGTGCTTTGAGATCATTATTCATACATCATAAAATTCACCCTTGTCAAGTATAAAATTCAGTGGTCTTTAGAATATTTACAAAGTTGTACAATCACCATAACTATCACTCTCAAAAGAAATATTGTCACTCCTCATTCTTCCTTCCCCCTATCCTCTGGCAATCACTTATTTACTTCCTGTATCTACAGATTTGCTTTTTCAGACTTCTATATAAATTAAAGCACACAATATGTGGCCTTTTGTATCTGCTTTCTTTCACGTGGCATCATATTTTCAGTGTTAGTCCATGTACTAATACTTCACCCCTTTTTATGTCGTACCAGTGATATACCGCAGTTTATCCATTCATCAACTGTTGCACATTTGGACTGTTTCTACTTTTTGGCTATTGTGAATAATGCTGTTATAAACATTCATGTATAACCTTTTTTTTTTTTTTTTTTCTTTTTGCTGTAAAAGAAAGCTTTATTGTTTTCTTAGTCCATGGCTTGGGAAAGGATGGGCTTCCAGGTGGCGATGATGCTGCCTCTGTGGCTGGAGGGCAAGGCTCAGCCGAAAGTTTGAGGAGGGCAGGGAAAGGCTAAAAGCCGCTCACAGGTTGCCGGGCTCTACAGGCTCCTATTCCTGCTTGAGGATGAGCCTCTCAAAGACAGATTTGCCCAGACCCACCTGAGAGCTGGCCACCCTGTTGATCAAGTGGTCACCCATCTTTTTGATAATTTTCAGTTTCTCATCAAGGAAGTGGTTCTCCAGAAAGTCAGAAGTGGGGTCTGTGTGGGTAGCACCCACATCATGCAGATCCAGAGGGACCGGTTCAGGTTCTTTTTCAGGGCCAGAGCGGCTTCCATAGCATCCAGGGTTCTTCCCCATTCATCTTGGGATGGCTTCTGCTCGTCCTGGAAGAGAACATGTCTACCATACTAGTTTTGCAGTTTCAAGAGATGCTCAGCACTCTTGCACTTCTCCTTTGCCAACTCGCAGTAGAAATGTCCCATGCCTTCCAAGGCCAAATCGTCAAGACTGAAATAGAAGCCCAAAGAGAAGTAGGTGTAAGGCCCGCAAATGCAGATTGACCAAACAGTTGACGCTGGCCTCCGCTTCAGTGGAATAATTCTGATGGATCTGAGAGCTCATGGTTGGTTGGAGATTTGGAGCCAACCACAGACTAAAAAAGCAGTGTTTAACTGGTCAACTAGCAACAGGGAATGGCCAAGAAGAAGGTCCAGAGAAGAGATTGTGTAAGTGGAGGTAGTCCGAGGCTGGAGGTGCAGCGTTCCCGGATCTGTTCTGCCCTAACACTGTTGAAGCAAGAGACAGATCCATGGGATCGCTAGGAAAGCTTCATGTATAATTTTTTACGTGGACTTATTTTTTCTCTTGGGTATACTATAATTTCTGGGTCATACAGGAGTCCTGGTGTGGCCTTGTGGGTTAATACACCAGACTGCAAAGCTGTTTGAACTACAAGGTCAGCAAGTCAAGCTCACCAGCTGCTCCTCAGAAACTCTATACAGGGTCGCAATGGGTTGGAACTGACTCGATGGCACTTCACAACAACAATAGTAACTGTATGCATAAGCTTTTTTTTTTTTTTTTTTTTAAATGTTTTATTGTGAAATATGTGATAGTTTACATGGGAGAACATTAGTTTTACATTCATCCTATCGTATATCATTTCATTGCCATGATTACAATCCCCTCCATGC